TTTTCGAATCAGTCGGTTCCGTGTTGGGAAAATTGCAGGGTTTTCTGCAATTTCTGGAAAACTTTCCATACTGGTTATGATACCAGCACCAGTCGGGGTTATCTGTCTCTCGTGGTCTAGAGACAGATCGCTTACGAGAAATGCTTCTACGTGGTGTGCGCGATCTCTTGCGGTTGGTACGAATACTAAGATAACGCGTGAGTGTGTGACATAAGTCGTTTATATCATTCTGAGTCGTTTGAGGTTTTTCTTTGACTGAAAATACCTCGGTAGTAGATTTCGTAATTTCTAAAATGCGGTCGGCAGATGCAGCTAGCTCGTCTAAGGCGTTGTTCTGGAACGAGACCAGAACTGCTTGCACCTGTTGGGGAAGTTTTGACAAGAAGAGTTGTTTGAATAGACCTTCGTCGAACGTTTTTGGGCCTATTACCTCTCTCATCCGTTGCAACATGTCCGTCGCAGAACCGTGTTGCAGGTCGATATTGTTGGAGAGTTGATCTAACCTTTGTCGATCGGTTAGGTCTCCTCGTTTAAGAATCGAGCGTTTTAAGATTTCGTAAGGATCGGAAACATCACTAGTAAACATACTAGGTGTTACGTACCTGTTGAATTCGCGCGGTAGTGCCTTGACTACTGCGAGGAATTGTGCACGTGTTTCGATCACGCCGTGCTCGGAGAAGTCGGCTTCGGCGTAGCAAAACCAGGCTTCGATGTTGTCGGGCCAGAAAGGCATCAGTTGAAACGAAGGCGGGGACAAAGTCTTAAGCTTGAGTACTTTAGGTGTCTGTTCAGTCATGATGAAGTATGAAGTACGATAATGAACAAGGGGAAAAAATATATATCCAGGAAAAAACACGAAAAAAAATCACAATGTTTAAAAAAATAAAATAATAAGGCAATGATATATAAAAATCCCAAAAAGGAACAGACTCACAGTTGCAATTAGGTGTACCAGATCACGTCGGTTTCACAAATGATGATGTCACAGGTATTCAGTGTTTGACAACGCTTCTACCAGTAACACCTTCTAATATATTTCGTTCCCGCCCAGAGAAATCAAAAGACAGAGTCGAGGAGATCGGAAGAGTATATTTGGCGATGACCAATATATCGGAATTCTCTGATCTAATCTGGCTAGCGATTGCGGTTGATGTTGAGCACGGCGTTACCACACGTGATCTGATGCGGATGCCTGACCGAGCGCCTTCAGCTAGATGAGTCCACTAAAACATATTGTCAGCATCCAATGTCGAAAACTTACAGAGCTATTTATTTTAGGGATTTATTTACCGCTTCAATAGAATACATGGTTTACCCTCTACCATTATTCATCGGTTATTAGTTATGTCTTTGTGTTTCACCTTCAGATTCCGATTTTCTTCAATATTTAAAGTTGCACTATCCATCCGAAGTGTCATGTCCTTTTTTCCGTTACAAATAGACAGACAACGCACTAATCTCATGGATGTTGAGCAACTATGGACGATCATAAGAAGCTCATAATATCACAAATTATTGTGAGTCGCTCAATAACTTGTTTCCTTACTCCGAAAATTTTACGGTGCTAAACTCTTGTATGTCCTTTGATTTACTATCTATCCTTACCATCTTTAAACCACATATAATCTGACCTGTGTTTTTTAAATTTTATCATTACTTATCTTCATAGTAGTGTGATATGCCAAATGGATATCTAAAACACAATACATAGGCTTTAACCATCTGATTTGCTTGTAAAATGGAACTACTAGTGTCAGTGTACTCCGACAATGAGCTTAGATTAAAGTAATATTCATACACACCACAAACTACGAGGGCCTAACATGACAAAAGGAGGGAGATTGATGTTACTAACCAGCAAACATGATGGTGGGGAGATAACTTCGATCCACGCATATCTGTAGGGTAGAACATTTCTTTATTTTATGGCTCCTTATGGTCAACTGAGATGTCAAGAACTTGTAGAATTATGGTCTACTATGATATTAGTACTGCTCTAATAATAGACCTAATCCTAAAATTGTAGATTTGTCATGATATAACTGCCTAATCTATAAGATTTTACGTGGAAGTCACATCATTGTCTACACTAACTCATCGTATCGTAACAATTACCAATATATGATGTAGAGTACATTGAGGCTGGAGACAGAACAATATCTTTAATATGAATAGGAGATATAAGGTAATATTCCACAGGGACCACGCCTGCGAGGCTGAGCCATGCCATCCGACGGGTTCGAATTAATTTAGTTTATTGTTCCCGCCTTCTTCACCGTTGAGTTTTTCTCCACGTTAGATGTTGAATATCTGTCTCCTCAGTTGTCTCGTGTTCAGCTTTGAGGATTGTGTATTTAGGGCTCATTGCCACAACAATGATTCAAGAAAAAGCTGAAAGTATAGGATTGTGTAAAGTTTTAAAATATAATACTGAAAACCGTATTCTGATACACAAATGGCTTTGGTTTTGGCAAATTGTCTAGTTTTGCTAGTGATAGGATTACTCAGCAGGAAGTGAAACCAATTCAACACCAAAAACACGATTTTTGCATTATAAATTAACATCAATACCATTAGTTTGTAGCGGCATTGGACCATAACCACACGGTCCTCAAAGCTGGACATGAGGCCACTCGGAAAATAGATATTCAGTATTTAACGCGGAGAAATAGCTAACGATGAAAAAGGAGGGAACAATTGATTGACCGTGCAGACGTGGTCCCTGTGGAATATTACCTTATATCTCCTATTCATATTAAAGATATTGTTCTGTCTCCAGCCTCAATGTACTCTACATCATATATTGGTAATTGTTACGATACGATGAGTTAGTGTAGACAATGATGTGACTTCCACGTAAAATCTTATAGATTAGGCAGTTATATCATGACAAATCTACAATTTTAGGATTAGGTCTATTATTAGAGCAGTACTAATATCATAGTAGACTATAATTGTACACCACCTCCATTTATACAGTTATTTGTCCATTCATACTTTATTTACGTTTGTTTTCTTTAACCTGCTAGAATGCTCTTGCTTAAAGTGTACCTTATCAATAGAAAATTAGATTAAGTAGTCATATCTTCATTATTTCGCCGCAAGTGACTTAATTTCAATAGGCATGGACATTGTCTGGTTTGCTTCTCGTCCTCGCTCTTTCGCACCCACTTTTCCAGCCCTCTCGAAATATGCCAACGAAAACGCCTATGTAATTGGTGACTTCGTCCTGCACCATCGTTAGTTCCTCGGATGTTCCAGAGGAGTATGAGGTTTATAGAAGCTCTTAAATTTACATGGGTTTACTCCTGATTATCAGTTGCGCGACGCGACGTAAACTCAACAAAGCGCGTCAACTGTCATATTGACAATACGGACCTTTCTGATATTATTTACATTCATATGTGAGAAAGGTTATCCCCCACAATTTTATGATCAGTGTACTTTATATAATTATTAGACTAACTGAGTAACCCACCATAGTGAAGACTGTATCTTCTGTAACAGTATGATCTTGCCTGTAATCTGGAATGACTCATGTAACAGACTCTCTTGGGTATACATTATTATCATTATTATTATTAATAAGTGCTTGTTCTGTGGCAAGTTTCGCCCACGTAATTCATGTGCACTTCGTAATTCTAAATGCTTAAAACGTAGTACGATTGGACACATACAGGCAGTTCATAATATTATTATTCATTTTGCTGCAAGCGAAATTCTGTTCCTATTAAATTGCGGATTTGTAATGATCATTTATTTTTATGCACGATTTCGAAATGCAGCATAGAGTCACATAGCAGTCCAGAATTAAATAACACTTATAATCATTGTAAGACAAAAGTTCCTAGTCAACCAACTTCTTTTCCGATTTTTCATGTTAATGTATCAGATATAGTTTTTCCTTACGATTCACATATTTCAATGAAATGTCTTATTAATCTGAGGAAAATATGTTGAATGAGTCAAATTATGATCGAAAATCTGAAGTTTTGATAGATGTTGATTTTTCTAATGATACATTATTCTTTAACGATATTCTTAATAGACTTGGGGAAAATATTTCAAAGCAATCAAATCCTGATACCATATCAAACGTTATTTGTCCTCACAATCGATTTATCTTTAGTGATATCCCTAATGAATGTGATGAATATTTTCCGAATCAATCGAATCCTAGTCACTTTTCGGATGTTAGTGTTGAAGAGTACAGTCAAAATTTAGGAAACTCCTCTCTAGAAGTACCCCAAGTTGAAGTGCTAGTACCCTATGATATGAAGTCTTACTCTAACTGTGACAAAAATGCCTTCCGAGCAAACCTTGCACTGGTAACATTGAAGCGCATTTTTGGCCAGTTTGACGGAAAAGCTTTCCATATAATCTTCAACAGTTTTATTCGTCCCTATTTAGAGTACGGAAACATAGTATTTCCTCCCTCATTCCAAAAGGATGAGGACACTCTGGAGCGTATCCAAAGGCGAGCCACGAAATCAGTTCGAGAACTCAAATTTAAACCTTATGAAGAGCGCCTCCAATCACTTAACCTTTAACCATTGGAGTATAGGCGTCTTAGAGGTGACCTTCGGATGGCTTACAGTATCCTTAACACTTATAGGCATTCTATTAAACAACTTCTTAAGTTTAGTTCCAACACTAACCTAAGGGGTAACACCCAAAAACTGGAGACACAACATAGCAGAACGGACTGTAGACAACTTTTACTCCTCAAGAGTTGTCAAATGCTGGAAGTCGCTTCTGGATGAGCTAGTCCAAGCGACTTCCCAGGAGTCCTTCAAGAGGCAACTTGATCTATTCGTAAGGATTAAGGATAGTATCATACTATGATTTGCCAATTTCTTTTCCCTCTTTTATTGTTAACATACCTAGGTTCCTGCCTAGATGTTATGGTGATCCCTTGCTCTTAGACTCGGAAGCCTCATAAGCGAAAGCTTCTTTCATTCCGTCCACAACCATTTGAACTACTTGAGACATTTGTGGTATTCTTGTTTAAATGCCTCGACCTATGTTGTGTAATGCAAGATCAATTACTAATAGACACGGAAGTCTGTTGTAAGTAAGCCATTTTTATTTAGTACACTAAACTATGAGATAGTTTAAGATTTGTTAAACATATTCAAGACATATAATATTTAATAAGCGCATTAGTCAATTCAAGGACATGGAAGGCAGTACCAATCGAGAAGATGAGGAGGTACTTCTTTTTCTAAGACTTCATACAATTTTGAGTAGGTAGAACAACCCGTGCTTGTGGAAGAGCCATTGGACCTTATTAGACTAAGCTTGGATGAAAAAATATACGTTAAAATGAAACGTAACCGTGAATTGCGAGGTGTCTTACACGTATGTTAATGTTTGATTACACACCCCTTTGATAGATGTTACAATCAATGAGTATCTCTATATCTTTCTTTAGTTTGTTGCCTTATTTTGGTCTCTTGTGAGAGTATGAACACTTAGACGTTAATTACAGGTTTTTAACTCTAGATTAGAGGATTACAGACTTAACTCCTGTTGATTCAGTGACTAGGCTTAGTGCAACCACCACAGCGTGATATCTGTCATGACAAAACTATAACATCCGCGATCCAAACTTTCTTCTAGATCAAGGTGTCACATGCACTTTCTAGTTTCCAGAGAAACTAGAAACAGCTCTGTTGTCTCTCGTTAAAATTATGTTTTGTAACTCAGTATTTTGATTCTAAATATACTCAGTATTATTTTCATTACGATGTCAAGTTTGTGTAAACATATTGGTGATTTGTGTCTCTAGATTATATTCTACAAACTCATGTTTTGGGCCTAAAAAGTCTTCGTTCTCTGGAGGAAGTCTATTTCAGAAACAAGTATTGTTTTAAAAATATTATGCCGTTATAATACAAATCGTGTTTTCTGACACAAGTTGTCTTATGATCCCTGTTTAAACATTCCATACAGTACACAAAGCTCTTTTAAACAATCTACTTTCATTGTAATAATGTACTATATTTCCCAGACGGTAACTAACACCCATCTTTAAGTAGCTATAATACTGGTCTCACTTAGTCCATTTCCCGGTTCGTAATGTACTTGACAAGGTCGACTAATTTGAACCTTACTAGTGAACATTCTACTTTAATATATGTCTTGTTCTTTGTTTCTGCTCCGTCATGGCTTCTCACGTTAGGTTTCGCAAGTCAGTTTATTCTGTAGATCTATTTTATATACATGTAACCCTTGTAAACATAGAGTTGGGCTTTTCATCCTTCGGCGGTCCTATGCTTCATGTATCATTGTTTTTTTGCCAAAATTTGAATCGACGTATGTTACGCACTATCTGTAGTTAATAATCACACGATGGTATTTCAAAACTATGCAGTTTACTAATTGGTGACCTTCCTTATTCAAATAAGCTTAAAGTTACGATTTTAGTGGTCAAGGCACTATACTCTAATCCAGTCGACCCCCAAATGCCCTGGTATGGTTAATGGTCGAGTTCGCTCTCACATGGTCATACGTATATAGCCATTGTCGGGAAAGTCCTACTCACTGCATTCGCACTGTGAGGATGTTGTTTACAAAGTTGAGAGAACGGAAAGCAAATGTCCGGTGCTTTGACCGGGTCGATGGAGGCAAAGGGTCCACCAGGGGGAGTCGGAAAAACCTGGTTCCAAATCAATGGTGCACATGAACTCCAGGATCCTGAATAAACAAAAGGCGTATGCGCCTACTGTTGACCACTAGCTAATATAAGACTGCGTCTTCTGACGTTGCTCCACCACCTTGTTGATTAGACCTCTAGGTCAAAGGCTCAGGGAGTGACCCCCTAAGGAAACCACTTGGTTCGGTTTAGACGCTCAGACACTATTCCATCCTTCACACAAATCGAATGATGGGATGTGGCGCATACATGTTTTGTATGTCTGAATAGGTAAATAAATAGTCGGTCACCAATTAGAATGCACTTATATTTCAAGGCAAATATTCCTTCTATATATTTCTCTTAAACTATGATTTATAAAATATATTAATTTGCTTCGTCTCTTTCCGCATTTCATTCATATTCATGCACACACTACAGTCTTTTCTCGACTCCAATTTACTCGTGAACTTTGCTCCGATGACCCTAGGTGTATAAATATCCTACGTCACCTACAATCTTAGCCATCAAATTAAATATTGTATGGATTGGCATGTGAAAATAATTGGTTCTGAAACTTCAGTGATATATAACCAGTGTGAAAACCTCATGTATTTTACACGGTGTCTGGTGTTCAAATTGTTTTGTTACTCATCTGTATAAGCATCATCATCAAAAGTGCACTATTATGCTTTTTCGATACCCTATTTCGTCAAGTCTAGGAGTACTGGTATGCTGTTTGAATACACATTTCTCAGCCCTACTGACCCTAAATTTATATGCCAAATGTACCATCTGCTAGACATAAGTACAATATAATCCTTGATATTATCTACCTGAGGAAGTGTTTCGTTATGATTCTAAGGATTTATCAAACGGTCTTCCGAGAAATATAATGTCTTCTGTTCGTTATTAATAATGTGCGCCTGCATTTAGATTCATGTACTCAGAATCAAGCCATTGTTCATAGTATGACTATTGATGGTACTTATACTGAAGGCCGGTTCCAAACTTGCAACTTAATGTTCAAAAATGGAGTGCGTTAAATACTAAGAAAGCTTTCCACAAATTTGTAATGACTCTATTATCGATCTCTACTTACTGTTAGATTTGAGACAATGTTTGTCATCACAGACAATGCTAGTGCATGTTTCTACACAAAATGTAGTTATTGATAAAGGTGTACAGAATTTCCATAAAGGGTGATATAAGCCAACCGAAAGAAATTGTTTCCTTAGCCTGCCATCATAAAAGTTTTAACAAAATAACTACTATGCTTCATTTATTATGGCTGGGTAACGACCCTTTATTTTTTTCACCTTTGGCGATTATCAGTTAATTGTAAACAGAGATAATTGACAGGTAGTTACACTTTGCTTGTTTATTATTATTGCTAGACCAAGCAACATGTGTAGTTGATCTGTATTTAGTTTACATATATCGCTCTTCAGGTTTCGATGACAATACTGTCTTCTATTAAGTGACCTGACACTGGTAAATCCGGAAACAACTGCACTCATAGTTAATGCACGGTATATGAATTTGGTTATCCTTCTTCATTCTATAAGTGACAGTTGTACTACATTTTTGTTTTTGCCTTTTGCACGTGGTCTTTTAAGCGTAGACTCCATTAGAGATAGCGTCAACTGGTAATAATGATAGGTTCAGTATTTCATAACAGTCAGTTATAATACGAGTCATAAGCCATTACACAAGTATAGTATAATAAAACAGTCACCCCAGATATAAACAGTTTAATGTATTTTAACTGAAACAGGCTTTCGACTCACATTTGAACATGATTCTGGGGAATGTTGAAGAAACTGTAACAACATTGGAGATAGATGAGGAAACATATGAAGAAGTTTACAAGGTAATCTATTTTGACCTCTAACAAAATACCCTTCATTGTAGACTACAAAGCGCACAATACCCATGCTGTTTATTCGCGGAGATGGTGTTATCCTAGTTTCGCCTCCACAAAAGGACTAACTCTTGTACAGTCAATTTTTATGCATCGTAATCCATATCCATCAATAAAACATGTAATTTAACAACAGTTTGAATATTTCACTCAGTCAGTCAGTAACAACGTAGAACTTTGTACGTACGTACATCAGTTCGAGTTGCCACACCACATTAGCACAGAGATGCACATGTCGATTCAAATCCCGTAGTGGTAGAGGTAATAAGAGTATAAGCAGTAATCAGGAAGATTAGGGTTTGGAGATGTTATTTAAAGAGTATAATACAGTGAAATAAATTTGGAAAGAGGAAAAAAGGGACATGAAGAATTCAGAAGATTAGAATTTGGGAGAACACAGAGAGTGGATGCACCTGCGCCATTGCAAACGATTTTGAGCCATGTCATTCAGGGTCTCTAACCATCGGTTGCTGTCATCTCGCGGTCCCCAACCAGGTAGTCTACACCTACCAACATGACTCAGTTCACTTGTCAGTGACTTCATGGACTTGTGCCATGTTTTGGTTTGGCCGCCCCTAGCTTTCTTCCAACCTACTCCTATACCACTGAACATAGCACGTCGAGGCAGTCGGTCGTTGGGCATACGTAACACGTGTCCCAGCCATCTCAACTGATGAAGTTTCACTACGTCATCAATTGATTTGCCATCCTTACCTAGTACCCGTTTCCTAAGAACTGTGTTACTTACTCGATGGTCCCATGATATACGAGCAATGTTTCGAAGACACCCATGATCAAATACTAGTAACCTACGGATATCCTCTACTCTTACCGACCATGTTTCACTGCCATAAAGTAGGACGGAACGAACTGCTGCGCAGTAAACACGTCCTTTGGTTGATAGACGGATATCTCGCCTACGCCATAAATGACGCAAGTTGGCAAAAGCTAGTCGAGCCTTCTGTATCCGTGCTGATATTTCGTCACACACTAAACCACAAGGGCTGATGAGACTTCTAAGATAAGTGAAGCGGTCGACACACTCAACTACTTCACTCCCTATCACTAGTTCGGGTGTCGATGTAACCCAATCCTGAAGCAACATTTTGCATTTCGAGGGAGAGAATCGCATCCCGAACATGCTTGCATTGTTGCTTAGAGTGGTCAGAAGACTCTGCATTTTGTCAGCGTCTTCACCAAATAAAACTATGTCATCTGCATATTCTAAGTCAACAAGTGAACCTCCTGGTAGAAGTTCAACCCCTGTAAATTTAGATGAGGAGAGTGTTATCTCTAAAAGTACGTCAATGACAAAGTTGAACAAGAATGGGGAGAGTGGACAGCCCTGACGAACACCACTTGAGGTGATCAATTCTGATGACAGTTCGCCATAAGCTCTCACTCGACCAGTTGTGTTCGAGTAGAGAGCCTTTATAAGGTTAATGTACTTCTTTGGTACTCCTTTCAGTGACAAACACTGCCATAGAACCTCACGATCAATAGAGTCGAATGCCGCCTTAAGGTCGAGAAATACTACCATTGTGGGGCGTCTGAATGTGTGTCTCTGTTCTAGAACTTGACGTAGTGTGAATATCTGATCTATACAACCACGTCCAGGTCGAAAACCAGTCTGGTTTTCTCTAGTCTGCTCTTCACGAGCTTTAGTTAGGCGTCGAAGTATTATTGAGGCTAATATTTTAGACACTATATTAGTCAAACTGATTCCTCTGTGATTGTCACAAGAGGACTTTTGTCCTTTCTTAAAAACTGGCACAATCAGTGATTGAGACCAGTCAGATGGGATTACGTCCAGTTCCCAAATTCTAACTAAGACCTCGGTTAATCTCATTGCTAATACTGGACCACCATCCTTAAAAATCTCAGGAGTAAACCTGTCAGGGCCTGCTGCTCTCCCTCGTTTCAGATTTCCTATGGCTTTTTCAACTTCGTAAAGGGACGGAGGACTTACATTAACTTGCCATTCAGGTTGACTGGAGATCGTGGGAAACCGAAGTGTGGCTGAAGGCCAGTTGAACTGATCCCTAAAGTGTTCTGCCTATCGATCCAATCTCCTGGATTGAGAATGAATAATATGTCCATCTTTCTCTGAGATTGTTTCGCTAACGGCCGGGTTCCTAATTCCGGTTTCCTTAACGAGTCTAAACAATTGTCTGCTACTACCTATTGCCGCTGCCTTTTCCATCTCTCTTGCTTTCGCTACCCACCACTGTTCGCGATCATTGCGTAGACTTCTTGTCAGCTTGCGCTTAAGCTGACTCCGCTCTTCATTATGTTCAGAGCCAGGTGGAATGTGTTTCCGAGCATTTATCAGTGAGATAGATGCTGCTGAGATCCAGTGTTGCTCCCTAACCTTCTGGTTTACCTTACTAGCAGATATCACTGCTGTTTCCACAGCTTTTCGGATATCATCCCATGCTGTCTCAGGGTGGGCATCACATACATGGCTGCCTAACTGTTTTCCTAGTTGTTCCTGAAATATACTCTTAGCTTGACTATCATTAAGTAGGGCCCTAAGAGGTTTCCTTGCAGGATCTTTCCTACGTCCAGTAAGACGCAAGCAAATACGCGTTCGCACTAGAGCATGATCTGAATCTAGGCAAGTGCTTCAGAATGAACGACAGTCTTCTATCGAGCCCCTCCATCGCTGGCTGATAGCGATGTGATCTATTTGGGTCCAACGTTGGGACGAATTAGGGGGTCGCCATGTTAAAAGATGTCTTTCCTTATGCTTAAAGTTAGTATTTGCAAGAAACAGGCGGTTATCTGAGCATAGCTGCAACAGACGGTCGCCATTATCTGTTCTTTGAGCCACGACACCATAAGATCCACCTAGGTGTCTTTCCTTATCGCTTAGTTTACCTACTTGAGCATTAAAGTCACCGGCCAATATTACTACATCCGAGCGCTTAGCTTTTCGGAGAAGGTCCGAAAGCTTTCTGTAAAACTCATCTTTTACATCATCTGAGCTGCAGTCAGTGGGAGAATAGGCAGAGACGACGAAGAGGCAACGACGAGTGTCCCTATCTTTCCGGATTCTTACTGTTCCGTTCAGTCGGACAGCGCACAAACGACTGTTTACTGGGATCCATTCTAAGAGAGCTAGTTCTGCCCTAGGACTCAATGCTATACCTACGCCGGCGAGGCCACGGGAAGCAGAATCAGGGCTTCCAGATACACGAAGCGTAAATCGAGTCGGTTCCTATAATGTTTCAGCAGTACTGTAAGGTGTTTGGCACACTAATAGTTCTTTAATAACCTATCCCGATCTTGTAATCCTCTGCAAATTAAAATACAAGCATTGAACTATTCATTTTCGAAATGGCAGTGGATTTTTTTTACTAAGAAGTATCGACCAGATAATAGTAAGACATTTTCAACGAAGAGTTCGATAAAAATGGGAACACAAGGATATAATATGCCGATTATTTAATAAGTAAACTGGCAAAGTGTAAACTGATTCTCAAAGTTTTAATACCGAAGTGTGGTACTCCAATAAGAATCCAGTGAAACTTTTCTATGCTTTAGCATAAATTGTTATTTAGTTATAAATTCAAGCAGGTGTTGGTGTGCATCTGACATAGATGCCGAATTCGTGATCCCAAAACGTTCCTCCCTAGAACTCAAAATAGACTCTTTCTGAGGAGAATTCAAGAATGGTAATCAATACTGTTCCAAAGTTCTGGATAATAATTGGAGTTATTGGATCAAGTTCTGTATATTGTAGTCCTACTAATGACTGGTTTGAGTAAAACAGTAATAATATTTTACTATAACATTGGTTACTTCAGGTTCGAATAGTGTCAGAAATTTGATTCGTCAGGCCACTAGCTAAGAAATATTTTTAAGGATAATATAGTTTTAGTGAAAAGATATTTTCCTACGTGCTTCTAAAAAGTATATACCTTATCGGAAATTTAAACGTAGGCAAGTTGATCAAACATCACTATTTAAAAAAACTCGCGAAATACCAAACAATAGAAATTTCAAGAGCAATGTCAGCGCCACGCTTCGGAGAAGTACATCAGTAAAGATCGCAGTGATCGTTCATAGCTTAAAAAATTCAATATGAGTAAGTATCATACTTTCTGCATACTGCAATCAAAACATGGATGTAGCAAATTAATAATCACCTCCCAAAACACTAACGAAGCTAACCGATAGATTGCTTATCGAGTGGCATCTCCCTGGCGAACTTTACTCGACTATTACATCTAGCTTGACAGTTGTTCTACAATTAATGATTTAAAGTTACTGATAATGAGGACCAGTATAAATTAAGGTCCAATGATTGTTTTATCAGTCTGCCAATAGAAGCGAGATGAACCATTTTTATAACCGTACTGATATTTGTGGCTGCGTAGTTTATGTACAATCACCTGATGTTCCTCATGGTAGATAGCGAACCCCACTTAGATAGAAGTTTACCAATGGTGAAAATCAATTAATCATAACCAGCACAACCCGACACCAATGAATATCGTCTAAATTATTTGTAACAACGATTCCCATTTTCGAGCATAGGCCAAAATTAAGAGTTACTCCAAAGGTGAGTGTTCATTTATAGCTCTGGAAACATAAAAATCCCACGCAAACATGATTTACTTCAAACTTACAACATGAAATGAGTAGAAGTATCTTAAGTAATACATACACTGAAATTGGAAGAGTACACCGTGATACTAAGCACGGGATAGAAGAGAAACGTTTTACAGAATTCGTGTGTCAACAATTAACAGTACTGAAATTAGTTAAGCCTGTAAACACTAACTGGGACCGTAACACACTCGGGTCTAAAAGAGTGGAAAGTGGAAACGTTATTCAATCTGATATTTATGCTTCATAATCTAGAGAAAGGATAGTTGAACTATAAACGTTCCCACGAAATCAAGCTATAAAAACTGTTCAAAATAATTAATGCACAATGTATAAAAATTTTCGAGAAAAAAATAAAGGACAAAGTGATCAAACAGATACACTGAGATCAATTTCGTTGACAGTACTTCTGATATGTACGCTGGATTGCTCGATAAAACGTAAAATAACGTCTGACCACTTGTTACAAAGCCAAGTATCATTATGATGACCATCCGGAAAACTCACAAGACCATCTCTTCCAGAATTAATGAAGGTAACTGGGTTTTGGGAAAGCGAGTTAGGGTTTGGGGAGTCGTCGTACATTACGCTCGAACTACACTCATTTCGAATATGCTGTTTTGTCACTATATTTTCATAAGCTTCAGCAAGCTTCCACATCATTTTTGGTGGAATAATATTATCCAACTCACCTGAGATAAGCAAAAGAGGTGGGAAAGCTGAGGATTTCTTTCTAGATTTGCTACAACTTTGAAGTCTAGCCAAGGAGGTATATTGATTTGAGAACAACCAAGAGGGCAATTTACAGGGTATATTGAGGATATGACTTGCAGCATCAGTGATAGATGTAAACGTATTTTCAATAATAACACCACATATTTTCTCACTTGATATAGGATCCACTGCCAAATAAATACCTAACGCTCCTCCCAATGATCGACCAAGTACAAATATTTTTTCATTGTTCAGATCACTTCTCATGTATAAATAATTAAGAGCACACGTACAATCTGCATATAAGCCCTCTTCACTTGGCTTTCCGGTACTCTGACCATAACCTCGATAGTCTATAATAAAAATATTACATTGAAAACGGTTTTCTAAAACTTGACACATTGGTAGCCGGGTAGTAGAGTTTCCTGCATTTCCATGCAAAAGAAGCACAACTGGACAAGACTTTCTGCGACATAAATCAGGCTGAAGAAGAAGGAAACCAATAATTGTTGGCCCAGTGTTGCCATTAGGACATAATTTTACCAATTCCCATGTAGAAAATCCAAAACATGATGGATTCATGTATAAAAATTTCGAAGACGGTGGTTCATCACAAGCATAAACTATTGTCTGTTCTAGGTACTGAAAACAAAACCATAAAGCAAGTAACAATAATAAAACGGAAATTAAGAGAGAAAGGGGCAAAATTAAATAATCGAGCGACAACGAAATTGGTATCCCAAAAATAATAAGAATAAACAGGCCAGGAACACGAAATGATTTGTTGCAGTTTGTTAATGGGCAGAAAGGCTTTGGATTTATAATCCAGTAACTGAACTGAGAACGAATTGGCCGTAGAAGAAGAAACAAACGTCCAACTAAACCTCGTCGCATTGTTAAGCCTTCATTCAAGCATGAATTCGATTCACTCACGGGAGTTCCTGAGGTCTGAAATGAAAGACAAGAAACACATGCAAAATTACTTCGTAAAAACTGGATAAAGATTCAACTTTTGAATGTAAAGAATCTGAATGCTACTAGAAGAGCAAATCAATCAGGTGTATTCAGTTTCGCAAAAATGAGAAACATGTAGTTTGCTAACAGCAACAACGAGAGTAGTCAAAAGAAACACAAAACGTGATTCTCCAACGAACAATAAAGTGAAGAAATATGGCAAACACAGTGTTGTAAACATATGTATGGTTTTAAGACGACAATGCTACGGTGTTCATCTTCAAATGCAAGAACTTTGCGTATCTTAAGATATACTGAATTTGCGCTATCAGGGGACAAAAAAAGACCAGTTTGTATCACATCCATACTACAACACAAAAGGTCGAATAAATGCACAACAGTCCTTTTGTGTTAATCCAAAGTCACAAATAATTAAAACCATATGCCGTAAATTTTAAAGTTTCAATATCAAATCGTTACTTCAAATAACACGAATCATAGCTACTAATAACAACATGATAATACATATTGTGTCAGTACTAATAAGGAATTGTTTCTGGGTAACCCCTAGTATTATCCGATCGGATTCGCTGATTATTAATTATTTGAGATCTGATGACAACAATCCAATTTCGACTAATTACAATCATCTAAGCAATACTGGTATACAATAAAAGATTATATCGTGTTTGTATGGAAGTTATCCAGGGTTCTATGCTGTTAAAATAAATGGATTGTGAAATCCCAAACTTATTTCACTAAACTAGACTTTCCAGACCTGTCAGATAAGGGTTATAACCCCATGAATTAGAGCTTCCAACGTTCTTAATAATAAATGTTAGAACGGAACACAAACTAGGTTGATAGGTAATTTGCATTTGTAAACACCTCCAGTGAAATCGGGAAGTGACTATAATTTGATACATGAATGTTCTGAAACCAATAACAACTAACAAAAAATCTGAAAAGCCAAATCCATTCTACTAAATACTGTTTAATAACCAACTCTCTTGAATATAGATATGAACTCGAAACATACGTTTCCATGTCAATAAATAATCAGGGTTGCTAAGAAAAACCAGTCGATTTCTTGGAGTACATATAAAGTCTCTACGATGATGAAAAACATGGAATGTCCCAAAGTCTGTCAAGTAACGGATTTAGCGAACAGATCAGCTAGAAATCATGCAATTTGTATTGGTCTGAATGACAAAAATAGGTTAAATTAGTGTGTCTCTTATGAAGACATTTCCCAGCTGAGGTCGCAAACATTTTTGGTATTCAAAATTTAGTATAAAATATTTCTTTCGGAGTTGGTTATGTGGGATTTAGTGCCTAAACCATTCCGCGGAACAGACTCAAGAAACATGAGAAATTCTGATTTATGAAGATCCAATGTTTTGGCCTACATGTCATGAGTGACTGCTAATTATAATCTTCGGGTTTTTAACTTGTTCTACATTTTAGTCGTCGAAAAATTATATTGAACCAGTAGTCATAAAATGACAATAAAAGTCTTCGGTTGAGTTCAAATGTTGAAAGTATTATAGAATGAAAAGTATCTTGTGCTATCAGGATTAGTGTCTTTCAGTCTAAATTTTTCAATCTCAACTGGATTAATCGAAAATCAAATAACTATGTTTAGCGTCAATGCAGATAGAATTAGTCTAAAAAATGCGAATCAATAAGCCACACTGCTAGTATATTCGTACTACATCCGAAGTCAGCAAAACCGAAAACTAAGTTAGAATAATATTAACCTAGAGTAAGTCCGTTTTTCCAAGTGAAAAATAAAACACCGCGTACCATCTTCAGCACACTTATACTCCAAATACTAATAATATGGTGGTGATCATCTCGACACGTAACAGGGAACCAAGAAGAGCACAAGTGACCTACAACATAGAAACGCGATCATCATATGCCAAAATTCACAAATCTGATAGTTAATAAATTCGCTTTATTTTGCTATTCTACATGTAAGTGGTTACACAGAAATGAAACTAGGTTTTACGCTGCATGACTGTATGCTACTGTCTAGTGGTACGAAATTCTCAAGGTTTATAAATAGCTACATGCATTCAAATGCAGAACAAAAGAAAACGCAAAAATGATAAACCTTATCCTGAAATTCAAAGAAGATTTGTGGATGATATGTACGTCTAAAGTGGATTACGAACATTTATGGTAGTTATTAGGGGATACAAAAAGCAACGTAAAAGAAAAAGAAAAGTCTTGGATAATTTATACAATTTATTTATACAAATCAGAATAAAAAAACATTTGTACAAAAGTAAGTCATCTGAGTATGTTATTTAAGCACTAAGTCCAGCTTTTTTCTCTGCAATCACATATATTAACAGACGCCACATTTTTACAACAAAGACTTCTGCCTCCTCATCTAAAACCTGAAGATAAAAATCACAAACCAAATGATAATAGTATTAAAGCCATATAATTAAGTGCATTTGATACGATGATAATAATTTGAATATACGTATGTAATCGACGTTGCAATGAACCACATATGATGTAAACAAACACTAATGGTGTGAAGCTTTGTAAGATTGTTCTATCATAAAACTAGGTCGGTAAGTCTGTATGAACGACATTACACACAAAACTAGAAATAGATTCCCACTTAGTAGACAATTAATGTTCAACACTAAAATGGTAGGTTGGACATAGTTTGGGAAACAATAATCTGTTTGTCTAGCATAGCTCGAAGCCGAAAAGTATCTAAGAATGATTCTTCAAAGTAATCCTTTGACCACTATTTTAAATTTGCAACTGCTCTGAAAAGTTAGTGTCAGTTATAACCATAACAATGGTGACCCAAAAATATGGTAGTTCACCCCACCCCAATAACTCTGACTTAGACCCAATTGTATTTAACTACCAATCAGTGAAAATTGGTGTTGTGAATTATTTTTTATTGCATTACTTAATATTGGTCGATATGTAGCACTCTCCCATTTTCTGGCTATATTTATTCTATATTCTAATGTGTGACAATGTGATCAATTATATGAGACGTAAAGCAAAAACATTCACAAAAAGCATGCACCTATTTAGGTTATTGGACAATGAGAGAATAACGATGCGAGAAAATGGAAACGATTGGAAATAGTGTTATTGATAAACTGAAGGAAAAAGTGTGAAAACCAATCGAAAATAAGAAATCGGTGGCTTCACAGAATAAAAATTAAGTATTCCGTATATTTGGGATGGATTTTGAGATCAACATCTTAAGCAATTAGTTTCTATAGTCCTGTTTATACTCACACATTTGATATAACGACAGAAACTATATATATATATATATATATATATATATATATATATATATATTTCACGTTTAACTTCTTTCTAGCAATATATTTGTTTTTTAATGGGTAGTTTTCGATACCAGAGATAGTAAAGCTTGATGAGTATAAATCGGATTCGATAGCTGAACCATAATCGCTAAATAACCTCTGAATGTAATGGTTAATATATTTAATTACTTTATTATTTATTTTTAAGATGTGTCGAGATTGTTTATTCTCAATATGTAATACAAACCAAAGATTTCTACCTTCCAAATTAAGATATATTTTATTAGTATATACACCTTAAATCATTATGTGGTCTGAGTACCATAGAAGACATTTAGATATGAATATCGCTAGACAGAAAAAGATCCGACTATAAAAGCAACACACAGAGGATAACAAAATATGGATAGTCATGTAATATGGATTTTGTGAATCAAACAACACAGTTTGAATAGGAATACACAGATCACATTCACTACTTAAGAAAATAGGAAATCACGACAAGAATCAGTTATCATCAACATCTGATGCAAACGGGAATCGTTATAAGCTAAGTACCTAATACTAGCATAGTAAAAGATGGAACGGATAAATCAAAAAGATAAAAGGGATTAACTACAACTGAAGTAAAAATCTAGTGGTGAATTATACGACACAATAACAATCAGTCTAATATTTAGGAAGCACGGAATGAATGCAACTGTTCCACCACTGGAACTGAATAAATTTATAGATACATGAATGTTCTCTAAGTAACGTTAAAGGTTAGATATTATAACTAATTTTTGAGTAATACTTACCATGGCAATGTCAGCAAGTATACGTTCTGGTGGATTGTGGTGTAGTAGTTGATCGCATATGAAACTGGATAATGTTGCTTCTGCTTCTCCGATATAACTTACAATCTTCTTATCTACCCAAGGCTTTATTCGAGAATTGACGAAATCCTGAAAGAAAACAATTGTTTGGAAAATTATTTACTGTAGATATTCATGGTGATGGATGAAAAGGGATAAATTAATGTTCATATCATTAAAAGCGCATCAGAACTGATCCAATACTGCTGTAAATTTGTGGAAAATACGAGAACCTTTGTTATGATTTTTTAAAGACGACACACTACTTCACTCAACGAGTTCCCGAATCGGAACACGGTTGAACAGAAACAGTAAGAAAAAGGTTGGTGTATTTATAATTATCATATAAGATTATAGTCTGCTCCAAGTCTCCACTAATTGCGTTTCTAGCTTCTCTAGAGTTACTGCCGGTCCAAATACTGAGTAAAGGATGAGGGTTGAGCATGGTGTTAGACAAACAGCAGTACAAAGGTTCAATACAACCTTAGTTCGACATACCGACAAACTCAAGACAGTACTAGTGTACGGAGATGAAGTTTGGAGAACTACCACAACCATCATCAAAGGGGTGCAACTATTCATAAACAATCGTCTACACAAGATACCGAATGTTGAAGAGAATAAATCAGCTTCCAGCTGAAGAGGAAATTATGAGAAGACTCTGGGAGTGGATAGGACATACATTGTGGAAATCATCAAACCGCATCACGAGGAAAGTGCTAACTTTGAATTCTGAAAGGAAAAGAGGAAGGCTAAATATCACACTGCGTCGGAAACTGGAAGCAGACATTAAAAGAATGAATAGCAACTAGAGAAAATTGTAAACGACTGCCCAGGACAAAGTTTGACAGAGAACTCTGGTGGGCGGGCTATGCTCGTCCACGAGGGATAACGGGCGTAAGTCTCAGCTAACGCTGATTGATTAGGAAGTAGCCAATCAGTGTTCCCCAGCACAATCCTGCCCGAAGCGTGCTTTAATTCAATCTATATCTCTCTAGCACCTATCGGTAATACCATATAAATTGCATGGTGTGTATCTTTCAACTGTTTGGTAGCTCTCTTCGCATATGATTAGTAATCACTGACCCTAATTGAAAAATGGCAAAGAACTTAGTGTACAGAACAGCATTCAATAAGTGAGCTGTACTAAAATTTAATGTGACACTTATTTAAAGCACGCAAATAAAAGAAGCAATAACATATTTGTTGTTCAAAACAATATTACCCTATATTCAAAGAATTGAAATATAGCACCAAATTGATTGCTACTAATTCACAACACTTAACAGAATTGATAGATTTGTAGACGGTGTACAAAAAACATACAACACTTACGGCATCAACCATATCCCAGTCAATAGGATAAGCAAATAATTCTCTTTTGTGAGTTGGTATCCCCTCAATAATTCTTTTGATAATTGCTTTTTTTTCTTCTGTTGACAATGCTGAAACTGGTGGTAAGTTGTTTGAATCATTTTGGTTTGAATCGCCACCATTTGAAGGATTGGATATTGAATTAGCCTTTAAAGCTGACGGTGGCAGCCATGAAAGACCATGTTTTTTCGGTTTCTCATCCTGCTCTTCATCAGCGAATGCCGATGCAGTTTTGCGAACTACTGGTTCAACTAATGTAAACGAGAATTAGGAAGGTAACTGAGATATACAACCATACAAATCACCTATTACTAAACAAAATTTGCGGTATGATTTAAGTGGAGACAATGCTGAAGTAAATAGAATATACATATAGATACGAGTTTCACTCTATCCTGGTGTCCAATTACACAATGGAGATAAAAAAAAGCTTTTCGTAATCCTTTCACTTTATATATTTGCACTACCTTAGAAATAATCAAATGTCCAACAGAACCCTAGCGTTCCGCTTCCGCTACACACATCAGGCAGGGTTCTTCTTAGTGAAGATGTGGCGAAAAAACTAGAAACACTTGGAGTACTGAAACTTTGAGTATATATATTGAAGTTATATCGATCTCTAGACAATATAACTAAGATGATTAGTGGGAATATGTACTTGTTACAACCAGGGTAACCGATTCAATCAACTCATTTATCCAGTGCGAGTTTATGTACCTCGCTTTGTGAAAGTGATACCACCCAGTGGCTCAAACCCGATGTGAAGTGAAGTTTGAATCTGCAGCAAACCGTTGGAAGCCGACTGGTTTTGTCAGTAATCCACTAGTTTCATGCATAAAGAGAAGTAAGAAACTGTCCAAAACATGAAAAGTTAATTGAAGTAGACCTAAAAATTCTAAAATATAGAAACTGAAATGCAGTAAATGCGATACTAATAACGTTTGGTTTGATCTGTGTTAGTCGGAATAAATCTGCAAACTGGAGTGGTTTGAAAACTTGGGAAGTATACTTTGCACTCAATCATAAGTAAACCAGTCATGAAATCAGTGTAAAAGAGTTATTGTCAAAAACCAAAACTATTAAAGTAATGAGTATATTTGATACTTTAATCCATTTACTAAGAAATGTGGCAGCAGTTCAATATGATAGGGTGTTCTCAATATGACCATCAATTCTCAATTAGGATATTGTTTAGCCAATCAATTATAAACAATGCAGAAGCTGTCACACAAATTTGTCGGTCCAAGTTGACACACTATATCAGCACAGTGAGATGAAATAGTCAATGGTAATAGGAAAACCTTGACATTAACAATATGATTCGAGACATAAGTATAAGAGAATTAAAAACTCAAGATATGAGGGAAGATAAATAGTGAATCCATTTGCATCAATTGTGATTTTGAGCCATGCCACCCATTAATATACACTACAGAAGCGGGCAATGAAACTTCTAAATGAGAACTCCACATTAAGAAATACATATGTATATACACTTTCAACCGATAGGTCATAAAAAACCAAATTTTTTCACTACATGATGAAAAGTGATAGAGAATTGTGAGACAATATTGCCTAGAAAGATATGCAGGGATCTGGATGGTAAGAATCCCTACTTGCCTAAACTAAAACAGAGAAATGTCACTAAACAGATTTCAAGCCTCTTTATTGATAACAACAGTAATAATTATTTCAACTTTCAAATTGCGTCACAAACAAGACTTTCTTCTAGACAAAACTAGCTCATTGGTTCGTCAGAGAAGCAAACAGATGGAATTGACAAATTTTACGAAGTATTTAGATTTTGGGAGCATGTAAACAACTTACCGATTTCACCCTAATAACTGAGATCGCTATATCCAATTTTCCTCACCGTACTATGTTATAATCTATCTGGAAGCTCAAGTTATTCTTTAAAAATGTTTATGAAATGCGATGAAATATAGTAGAATTGAGTAGTTTCTGATAGTATCCCTCAAACTTAACAAGCATAACTATAAATGAAAAGCACCGAAATATAATAAGATCAACGATAGGTAGTTTAAAATTAAAACGCAATTACCTGCACTCATTGAAAATAAAAATGTATTGGAACCATCCTTCAGTAAACTGACAGACGTCTCTTCAGGAGCAGCAGGTTCGAACTCAGAGGTAACGCCATTGCATGCAGGTGATAAATTATTGGTTTCAAGTGACTTAACCACACACTCGAGGTTTTTAGACTAAAACAGAATCACAATATACTGATCACAAAAACCACAAACCTAGATAGCAAAACACTTGAAATCGTACTGAAAAACATCAGTTAAATGGAAAAGACCCTTTAGATTAATGTTCCAAGTACTAATTTTTGTGAACTACCCCTTTTATAGTATAACGAATAAGACTACTAGTAAATCAGTAACTTAATAAAACTGACTACCGAAATAACTGCACTTATTCGTTGTACCTTCAAGGTTCCTCGACGAAGAGTTTAGTAGTACTACACATTACTTGGAAACAGTATGTTATCAAATAACATAAAACTTCACGTATGCATCAACTATACGCTAAGGATTGCTTTGAACTGTTAAATTCAAAAACAATTACTTTATAACATTGTTCGAAATCCATGAAAGCTGAACCACAATAATGAATTGCTTTGCACACTTTGTAAAGCTTGTTTTGATTTAGACTACTGCTATAAAAGAGAACATATAATATTACGAGAAAAACGAAGTGTAGAAAGAACTCTAATTATGTGATAAACAAACAAATGACTTAGCATATGGATTTGAACAAAGAACTAACTGATAACATTTACCCTATAGCACACATTATAATCGAGCTGTAACTTACCTCATCTTCAGCGCTCGGCAAATTTTCACTAACCGGTTCAGGACATTGGTTATCATTTGATTCGATGGACATATCACCATTGACCAGTAAACATCTTCTGAGATGCTCCTGCATTTTTTGTTCCATTTGAAATATAATGGATTCTGCATTCGGATCACCCTCTTCAATTAGCTTTCGACGAGCTGTTTCAAGTTGCTCGATTTCCTTTTGTCGATCACGTTCATCAGCCGCTTCTTCAATTTCACGATCTTTCAAACGCTGGTGTAGGGCACTGCCTCTGGATAAATTTTTAAAAAAAATTTAACTGCTATGTGAATTCAAAGACGTTTAAAAACATGAATTAATACGTTTGCGAGTGCTTTTTCTGAAGGATTTTAGTGCTTTAAAGTTATAACTACAGAAGCAGTGCTTAGCACGAACGGTAGCTGGCTAGATAAATACGCAAGGAAAACGGGAATTATTGAATAACAATAGTATCCACCACGTCGAAATACTAATAGCAAAATCATACGATACAATGTTAACCCTTTTGCATCCTCACGCAGACTTATTTTGTCAAGCACCAAGTTCAAAGTAACATTCAAAAGTCATGAAATACATGAACGACCAATCCACCCAACTTGTTTAGGCAATTTTCGCCTAAATTCAGCAAGGGAAATGTTAGCCGAAATGTTTACAATTCATATGTTAAAATATATAGCAAAAATACTGTGAACTTTAAAACTATAATTTCAATTTCATGCAGATTTGCGTTATCAGTGCTGTTGAAATATATATATATATATATACTGAATGGAAATTACTAACATACAAACACCAAGTAGTTACTCAAACGTTAGAAATTCCAGCGCCTGTCCCCAAACATTTAGTGCAAGCGATAAATACAAATGAATGCTGGATTTCGTGTACCCTACTAGACCTGATACATTGATGTTAAACTAAAATCAAATTTTACCTGTAATATTTAGGATCCTCTACATTGTCATCATAATCTTCAAAAAACTCCTTTAGCCTTTGAGCTTCGATCTGCAATTCACGTTGTCGTTTCCTTTCATGATCTCTCTCATGTTCATATTCATTGGCCTTCTTTCGTTCACGAATTTCCCACTGCTTTAGTCTCTGAAATTAATAGTTTGATAATGAGAGAGCTTTGAGAATTTCATGTACATAAATGAGACAAAATAATGAGGTTCCACAAAATTCAAGTGATGCAGCATCTGGATCATTTACAAGTAACAAATTACGTGATTAAACTGACTCAAAAAGATCAAACTGACTTATTAACCAGGTACTTGGTTATGAGCCACACTTTCAGTGTAAAACATAGCAGCACCACAAAGCTGACCGAATCACAGTGGACGGACCTGGATTCGGACCCGAAAACCAGTGGCTGAAATTCGAACACCACCGCTCAACGAAACTAGTAAGAATAACTAGGTTCTGCCAATTCTCAAGTTTAAAACAGACAGGACAAACTAGTCATAAATCATAAAGAACGGAATTATATTTTAATTTAGATCATGAATCGATCAATGTTAGATCGCTATTAGAAACCTGGAAGCACTAGACGGGCGTTTCGTCCTAGTATGAGACTATTCAGTAGTCTGTGTCCACGATCACGCATGCGAGATTCGAACACAGAACCTTCGGTCTCATGCGCGCGAACGCTTAGCCCATAGACCACTGAGCCGGAATCCGATGGTGTTAAAGTCTAACTTCAACCAATCTATAATACGGTGTGGTCATTTTTCACAGATTAGCTACGCTGGTCACGGTTTCATCGTAGAACTCCGAGAATTACCTCTGAGAGTTAATCACCAGTGAGCAAATGAAACTATATTTGTAAAAATTTACTTCGAAAAAACTTGGACCGGACTGCCAAGAGATAAGGATTTACTTTGATTTCAATCGATGAGATTTTAACAAATATATATTTCAATGTCTTACATTAACTCAAACCTCAAATATTATGCAACTATTCATTCAAATTCAGACAAAAATTCTTATAATCAATCACAAATTCACTTCATTTAAACCTATGAAACAAAAAACACTAATTTTTTCAAACAAAAATGTAGCTGCATACATCTACATAATATACACAATTAGAGTAGATTGATGTTCTTTTTTAATTGCAACCACCTGACAAGCTCCATAATCTCGAATGGCGGAATGGAATATGAACATACCTTAGATTACCAGCTAACATGTGATCATATCTCTTGATGTTTCCAGATCAAACGTTCGGAGTGACTCTTCTAAGAAAACCATTTACTTTGGTTTGGACACCCTAGTCCATATACAATTATATGATCATCAATGAAAGGCTTTTGCTTGCTCTCGCTACCTACATAAACAACTATTCCAGGTGTCTAATTACACACAAATTCATTTTATCCTTCCCCCTATTATCTATGCCCACACTAATTTTCCAACTCTTTTCGCTTACGTTAAAAACTCTGTTCTATGTAAAAAAAAAATCTTAATTCATTGACAAGTAGGAAGTTGAGCGCCACTACTGTACACGGATTGAGTCAGCTTTTCCGAAACAATATGTGCCATTTAAACTCATCTTTTTCAACATCTGCACACTAATGCAGGTCGGATAGAGTTGCCTTTTAAAAGTCTGAATACCAATGTCTGTTGTTTATCTCAGACCTACATTCAAGACACCAGTGAAATAGTAAACATTCAACCTCTAGAAAGCGCGTTCGACAGATCTTGTAGTAATTGCCGATTTTAATGTGCAGGTCGTGAGTCTAGACGCAGAAGAGAGTCTTTTGGGTGTCCAATGAGGACCTGTTGGAAACATAGCGGCGACTGTCTCCAGCAGCTTTGCGCAGATACACACCCAAACTAAAGCATGATTTGTGTCTAAATATGCGCCCTAAAATGAACGAGTCTTTTACCGAGTGCCCTCCCAACGATCGCTAATGGCAATGTGATCTAGTTGAGTCCATCGATGAGTCGATTGTGGAGGTCGCCACGTTAGAACATGTTTATCCTTATGTTCAAAGTTGCAACTTGCCAGAGATAGAAGATTATCATAGTATGGTTGCAACAGGTGGTTGACATTGTGTTTGCTGAGTTGTAACTCTGTAAGATTTACTTAAATGCCTTTCTGTTTGGTTTAGTTTACCTACTTGAGAATTAAAATCATCTGCTACTATTACTACATCACATCGTCTAGGTTTTTGAAGGAAGTTGGATAGCTTCTTATAAAATTTATCATTAACTTCATTCAAGCTGCGATCAGTGGGAGGGTGGACAGAGAAAATGAGTCCTTACTGCCCCGTTTAGTCGAACATGGCACGAGCGACTGACTATTGGAATCTACTCTAACAGAGCCTGTTCTGCTTTTTGATTAATGCTATACTTACACCAGCGACGCCAAGGGAAGCATCATTGGGGTTTCCAGATACACATAATGTAAATCTTCCTGGTTCTATACATGGACAAGGTGAGGTCAAACGAAAGATCGTACTTGGATACTGTACGCATGTTTCGGAGATGCGGAATATGTTGGTGGCGCAAGATTCTAGAGTCCTAGCTAAAGATAACCTGTTGTCCTACTGGACACAATGTTCGAGCATTAAAAGCTCGAAAATGTAGTTTAGAGCTTGGTTTCAGGAGACTAAGAATAACATTTCGTGAACTCAGTATATTGGCATTGGTGGCGCCTGGTTATAATAATATATGAGAAGGATTAGTCGTGGGAATGGAAGAATCATTAAGAAGACTCATTTATTGACTTAAAATACGCAGAGGATATAGTTCTGCTTGGTGTAGACACTAACAAAATGCAGTCCTTTGACAGCCTTAGGCAATAATACAAGCATGTTTGAAATGCGATTAATTATATCTAAATGTAAGATGATACTTCAGCATTCGTTTGCGTCATCTCCCGAATTAATGATAGGGAGTGAAGTAGTTGAACGCATCGGCCACTGTCTTGCAGTCTTATCAATGCTGATGGTTTGGTGATATCTCGGCACGGATTCAGAAGGCATGTTTGGTTTTCGACGTTTGATTGCCAATTTGCGTCACTTGTGGCATGGACGAGATAACCTAACCACCCAAGGGCCAGTTTACAGCGCAGCAGTTCGCTTTATTCAAATTTATTGATGTGAAAAATAACCATTAATAATAGAGGATATTTGGAGGTTTATGATATTTGATCATAGGTGTCTTCGAAGCATTGCTAATGTATTATGGGACCACACGACAAGCGATTTCATTTGAATACCCGAACATTGGTACAAAGAGGTACCAAATATGTATGCGCCAAACCTCATCATTCGATTTGTGTGAGGGCTGGAATAGTACTGGGAGCCCAAACCGAACCAAGTGGTTTTCTTAGGGGGTCACATCCTGAGCCTTTGACCTAAAAGTCTAATCAACAAGGCAATAGAGCAACATCAGGAGATGCAATCTCATGGTAGCCGGTGACTAGCGATAGGTTTATATGCCTTTTGTTTATTCAGGATCCTGGAGCCCATGTGCATCATTGATTTGGAATTCGGGTTTCCCGACTCACCTAGGTGGACCCGCTGCCTCCATAAACCCCGTTAAACCGCTGGATATTCTCTTTTCATTCTCTCAATTTCGTGAACAGCACAACCTCCGTGAGAAGACAGTGAGTAAAACTTCCCAGTCAGTGGCTGTATACGCGAGGTCATTTGAGGGGGAAAGCTGAGTCTCCCTGCCCTCAGACGTACCAGGGCATCCGAGGGTCTGTGTTAAGAATAGAGTACTAGATAAGGATAGGAAATCGACTGAAATGGTATCAAATCTCTATCAACTAAGGTGGTTGAGAATGTGTTAAATACGTCCAACCATCGACTACTGGGGGTAACAGAGTTTGACAGTAAACTAAGGTCGTTGCGCAACGACATTGTGCAAAGCTTACGTAAGGACTGAGAAGCCTGATGGTCGGAGAGTACTAACGAGTTGGAAGCAACAGCTAGATCTGGTAACCGCAGGAAGCCCTCTCAACACATCCTAGTCACTGGAAGCAAGAATTTTGAAGTAACAGAAATAACCTGTGAAGCTGAGGGGATGCCAAACGGTAGCAACTACCGAAGTCTTGAACGACGGGCGGTTTGATTGGGAATCAACACAGTTAGTGTGCTGCCTCAGCAACACTAATCAAGCTGTCTTGTCCTCTAAGGCCAGTGACAATCGACCAACCTAATGAGGAAGTCTGTGAGAAACTCCAACTCCTAAAACGCCATAAATCACCAGGCTTATATGAATTGACCCCGGTTCTTCTTAAGGTAGCGAGCCACCGGTCAGAGAGCTAACTGGGTTGTTTGAGAAAGTTTAGAAACTAGAGAATGTACTGACCACTTGAAATGAAACGACTGTCGTCCTCATTTTTAAAATGTCTACGTATTCCACACAACTTAAAGGATAGGTTTACTTTCAACCGCGCCCAAACTATTGGCTTCCGTTATACATACACACCAAAATTTATATTTAACACTAAAATGCGCATTTTTGCACAGCATGAGTTTTATATTTACGTAATTAATGAACGGATTTTGACGTGAATACAAAAACTAAGGTGTATAGTGAAGTATTTCAAGTGGAGTACCATATTTTTTCCGAGAGTGAAAACGAAACTCTTAGGAATGCTATGCACCATAGATTATGCCCAATTGGTGCTTAGACCCGAATCCAAATTGTGAATAAAGAAATGGTTAATACAGATGTCATTCATTTCATACTGGAGTATAGTTCTACAAATATTCAATTTTGTTTACTACGATCGGTATTTTATAGATAGGTTTTTTAAGACAGTGATCTAAAGGTCGTGTTTTTACCGTCCTTCCATCATTGGAATAATTTAATAAGTTTCTTCTACACTGGCAACGCAACCATAGTTACCATTCTACAGGATGCTCGAATGTTCATGGACTAAACTAACATGTTCAATAGTTTTTTTTCAATATACGGAGAATTCAGATCTAGCAAACATTTAACCAAATATTTAGACTCCAAGTCTAAGCCTTCCCTTGTGTAAAAACAGTGTAAAGTTCCAGAATATCACAACTGTTTAAAACTAACGGGTCAATTAGAACATGGCAGTATTTGATTTATTTTAGATGCTTTTTAAACGTTAGTTCGATTGTATCCGACAACTACCGACGCATTTCTTAGAGCTCTTAAATTACCAATATTAATTACTTATTTATTTATTTGAACACATAAATATTGGTAATAAAGGGCACCGAATGCATATGCGCATATGCGTCACTTGATTACTTCCACAGTTCTAGGTCAGTATTAATTCCCCTAACCTAGAAACTTATACACAATGTGCTATTTCAGGATTAGCATGACATTACAAGAAAATCCCCAGCACAGATCGTTATGATAGGTCAATCCTAATTAAAAGCAAGACTAACCTTCTGGTATGATTCTTCTTTTTCGCGAAGCTTTTTCTCTAACTTCTTCTTGATTGATTCTTCTTCATTATCAATATCCTTGTTCGACGTCAAAAAACAACTAGTTATTGGTCTCTGTGACCTAGAAGTCAATGAACCTGAGCGACTCCTACTTCGGCGACCTCTCTCTCGGCGGTATTCACGATCAACCCGGTCATTCAGAGAATATGACGAATGTAATTGCAAGTTTGTAGAGCTTGAGCGTCCAGAATCTGTACCTTTCGAGCGTGAATGTTTGTTATCATTCTGGTCTTCCTTCTGACTCATAAGAAAGCGGGTGATTTTAAAATAGAACATTCAAGTTTAGCATGGACAGTAAACGACGATATATGGGACAGGAAATATGAAAATAAATAGAGCAGTTGCTCTTCAATACTATAACAGTATATCATCGTAAGACTCACCGATACTGACATGGGCAGACAACTGAGGATTGACACGACACACGCCATGCTAAAAGTTAATTAAATATCCCATGTAAGGGATTTCCATTATGCTTAGACGCAAAAAAAACTAAGCGTATGGGCCGAACTAACACTAACTGACCTTATTTACGTAATATAGGAAGTAAACTTACATTATTGCAAAAGGGAATTAAAATGGATTCAAATTTATACCCATTCACAAACAAAAAGGTTCAGAAAATCAGTCGGCACTGTAATCTGTACCAAAAACACTAAAAGTTAGCTTTACCTCGTTTCGTTTACGAAAGCTCTCAATTTCACGGTTAATGAGATCTTTACGATCGTTGTCAAGGTCCATATCCTCAATAGTCTGAAAAAAAGATGCGAATATATACATATATATACATATATTTGACCGGGGCAGACTAATAGAATCATATTTCATTTCGGGATATCAAAATGCAACGTTATTGTACTTTTAATGATAGCGATTGAAAGACTAGCTTGTCGAAAAACTCAGCAGACAGAAATATCCTGGAAATTCATCATAATCTCAGTCAGTCAATTATACGGACCCTGAACCTATTATATTTCCATCGGTTTAAATTATCATAAAGGATTAGCACAACTAAATATCTATGAAGACAAATCTCAGAAATAATAGTAACAGCATCAGTAGTATGAAAGATTAGATGCAGAGAAAAAACTAAGAAAATAATGTCAGATAGATTGAACTAAATGCCATTTGTGAGAATGCTAATGATAAATGACTGCAGAAAAAGAAAAGTATAGCTTTACCTGATTAGGAGGAAAAGTCAATTGAAGTATGGTCTTTTGTATAAGTTTTAACGATCAATAACTAGCTCATTTCCACTTTCTAAATCGATGAATTTCCGGATACGAAATCGACCCTCCGAAAATCAGACGTTACTCCTAGGTTACCTACTGCAAAATCAGACGAAATGGGGTTGACCCTAAAAAGCACCACTTGATGTTACTAACCAGGATGACAATTCACCTCAAGTCTCAACTAGGTCAGTTTTGTAAGAATGCAAGTTAGCATACTTCCCCAGTACACCTACCAGTAGTAAGCACAGTAGCAAGAATTCTAGCTAGAGGGAGTAGATTCTGTTTTAAAGACAATTAATGTGGTTCGTGATGGCTGTCAATAAATATCTGTTTTCAAAAATTTTTGGAAGGTAACGATTTTGTTGAAACGTTCACTTTCTCGGTTTTGATTTCAAGCCACTCCTAGATGTTCGATGACCAACTGATACACTTTAGTCTCTATAGAGCATGCCACCGTACAGTTCCAGTCGATTGGAAAATCAGAACTGACATCCAGTAAACTCATAAGAGATCCCTTCTGCCAGAATTCATAATTATAAGCACTCCAAAAAAGTTCACAGGCCCAGAACAAATTACTTGTCAGCTGACTATCGACTTTTCCATCGAATCATCAACGAGTGGAATTCATTACCTCAGCACGTGGTTGAGGCTCCATCAGTCGACTGTTTCAAAAGAAAGCTGGATCAACTTAGAGACCACCATTGCCAGGACTAACACAGGTCATTAAGCCGCCTGTCCTTCCCAAACTGAAACTGAACTTATTATTAACTAAAGTGAGCTTTGATATACATGGCATCATTTATACAAGGCCAGTTTATAACTAACTGGACACTTTTATTGCTATTTAAGTCCAACTTTGAACTACAAAGACTTATTAATTTAACCTCAGTCGAAAACTTTAAAAATCACTAGAGCCCATGCATGAATTTTAAGCCGATGACAGTAAACCTAGTTAAGCCCGTAATGAAATATAACCTAGTTCTTTTAAACATGAATAAAACAACCAACCACAGTTTTACTAAGGTACCATAACAGTGTGTTAACGAAAAATGAATGCGAACTTAGTCGACTAAAATCTAGATATGCGTGCAAACCAGGAGTCATTTAGATACCAATCAGCATTTTAGTGTGGCATTTATTGAAAAAGGCATAAAACAGGTGACAAATAACTTACAAGGTGACGCGGTCCCTCCATGTGAAGGTCTTGTTTCTTGGCAGCACCTAGAAAGTGAAATCTCGTAAATGAAATCAAACCCTCATCCTCTAGCATAGCTTTGTTCTCTTTGATAATGTTTTCAAGCGATGTCTTAACAGTTTCATCATCTCGTTGAGTCGATTGGTCGATCTCATCAGAAGTGGCACCCAAAGTGCCCTCTTCGCCCACCTTTTCTTTCTTTTTTCTATACTCATTTAACAAATCTTCGGTCTTCGGATCAACTTTTACCTGACAAGGGAATCAAACAAATCTTGTTCTTACTAGCAAGGCCTTAGGACCAACTTTAAAACCATTTAGGAGACGTACACATCTCATGGTGGATTCAGGGTCTTCGTATTCACAAAAGCCGAAAGCCTGGAGCTTTCCGGATGCCCCCTGAACTCGCTTCCAGCTTAGGATGTTTCCGCAACGCTACAATAATTAGGAATATGATTTCGGAAAATGTAGATTACCATTAAAAGCGCCTTTATGAGTTGATCAGGAGCGCATTCAGCTATGTTACCAACAAAAACAGTGGTGACCGGAGGCTTTTCCCTCACATACTGCAAGAGTAAGTCAGTTACATATGCAAATCTACAATTGGAGTTTCAGCAACTGCAGGCACAACCGGGGCGGCAACATTCGGTGGTGGGATTACCGTAGGCACAGTAACCAGTGGTGGAGGGGGTATGGCCATTGGTGCCATGGGAGTAATACCAACGAAACCTACTTTATAAAGCAGTAAGTTAAAAACACTGACCATAATATTGAGGAGCCAACCCAAAATACGGATTGTGTGGATACATCACAGTCAGAACAACAGCCTAGTCAAATGGAGGAACTACAAAAATAGTGCAGTTGAACAAATATCCCTTCACCAATTTCAATAAAACATAATCTTCAGATTTTGATTAACCTAACTAGGCAACGGGAAATTTATCACTGAACGAGGTAAAAGTACCTAAAGATCAGCAAAGTATGTATAGACGACCCATTTATGAGATATAAGTTTCGAAATTTGAACTACATTGTGTGGAAATAGAGGACTATTAGTTCCTTTAGATCAGTATCAAGAGAGCAGAAGGGGAATCTCAGTTATAAGAGTATATTAATTTCTCTAGGTTCCTCTTGAATCTGGATGTCGAAAGTATCACCTAAAATAGTTCTAGTGACTGAATCAGCTTTACTGTTTAGTTCCAATAACTTTGCCCTCGCCTTTCTTTGAACACGTTACAAGAGAACGATATGATTTTCAATCAAAATAAAGAGAAATCTTCTTTATAAAAGCATGCAAAGGTGTAGAGTTTTTGCTAACTAATCTTGTGATTAAGCACGAAAAATGTTCGGGATAAAAACCAGGCTAGGCAGCCTAACGTTTTGTAAAGAAGTCTTGGTATAGTTGTATTATAAAGGTGCTAAGTGCAACGGCGTTGCTAAAGTCCGAATACCTGCGGCGTCTTTACTTTTCTACATACTAATTCAGTCGCATATCAGTCATGGAGAATACATCCAGAATGAGTGCTGTTACGATGGTACTGGACAATTGTGCCATTGGGATTCCAACATCTGAAAAATTGGAGATGTCAGTGTTCGTAAAGAGAGATGTACGCAGTTGTAGACAGATCGGAGGACGTGAGTTCTTCATGGTATCTGGACGAGAAGCGCCATATGTTAAATGTTACCAGAACTGATCACAAAGTCTAACTGTGGGCGTTTCGCTGGTAGCTAAAGCAAATATAAGCAAGACTTGCATTAGTCCTGCATATCTACACATCTGAGGGTTTTTCGGTGTTATAAAATTCAACATTTAAGTGTCTACTCACAGTCACCTTGGTTAAGTGGTCGTCTGTCCTTCTAGATCCTTGTATGATCTATGTCTTTGTGGCGTCAAGCCCATATAAACAGTCAGCGATGGTACAAAACATTCTGTTCGTCTCAGGTCCGTTGTGGCTGTAGATAAAATAACCATTCAGCCATATCAAAGTTACTGTCCTACACTAGCTATTTTTCAAACTTATATTCCCAGTTTTATGTTGACTTCTTTTTGGTGACAAAACAACTCGCAACATATTAATTCAATCTCTCATACCGTGACTAAATAGGTTGACATTTGACAAAAAATAGCGATAAACGAAAGGTCTTAGGTAATAAAATTGATAACGTTGTTGGCGTTACTGAGGACATTTTTTGTTTCATTCTTGGATTTAACTAACAGTCTTCCCACTTCTCGTCATAGCTTTTCTTCTGTTATTTTTATGCATCCCTCCTTGTTACATTTCACAGTTCATTGGTCTCTGTATGTGTAACTTATCTGATTGATTGTCAATCATTCTACGGGTTGCCACTAAAATGAGCTTTACCTATTGACACAAAATACTCCCACTTGTTCCATTGCGAAAAATTATGGGTTGTTGAGGACTCATGCACACGCTTTCCTTAGGTTCATAGCTTTCATCAAGCGTCTTCTGTTTATTACTTTATAATGACTATGAACTTTCAATCCGGACTTTTCTGTTGTCTTATCACGCTACTAGGACTTATTCGGTACAGAATACCCGCCTAATACTGACAAACAATTCGGTTCGTATAACTATTTGATTAACATTCGATAGCTCTACATTCAGCTGCAAACGTTTCACAGCGAACCGACTTTTGTATACTTGTTTTATACTGTATTTACAAGGCTGTCAATGCAGACATTGGATATGATGCAGCACAGCTGGTTTGCAGAACGATACTTTGACTCTTAGGGAAATTCGCGGGTTTTTCATCTTTTCCTTCGAATATGGATCTGAACTCCCACGCAACAATGCTTACGAGCGCCAGATTTCCAGTTAAAATATCCTTCCACTCGACTACAGTCAACTGATGTTTATGTTTAACCTGTCTTACGATATATTACGCACGTTTTCGTACGTTGCGGCTGATTTTGACATCCCTCGAAATAGCATATGTAGGCTCCTTCAAAGTCCTTTCACGTAAACATAAGTACCATATCATCCATTATAATGGAAGTAACGATAATATTAACGTTGATCATTTTGAAGTCGCATATTCAGGAGACCCCAATAATGTTTATTCTTCTCCTGTACAACCGCCCCCAAATGCCGTGGAACGGCCGAGAGTGGGGAGAGTCAGCTATCCCTCTCGAAATGCTCTCACATGGTCACGCGTATATAGCCTCTGCCAGGGAAGTCCTACTCACTGCCTTCTCGTGGCGAGGGTGTTTACAAAAATGAGAAGACGAAAAACGAATGCCCGGTGCTTTAACCGGATTCCAAACCAATGGTCACATGGGCTCCAGTATCCTGAAGGAACAAATGGCGTATGAACCAATCGTTGGTCACCGGCTTCCATCGGACTGCATCTCCTTACGATGCTCCACTGCCTTGTGGATCAGACCTTCAGGTTGAAGGCTCGGAGAGTGGCCCCCTAAGAAAACCGCCTGCTTCGGTTCGGGCACCCGAGCAGTATCACAGCCCTCACACATATCGAATGAGATTTGTGTGGCGCATATGTATTTGGTGCCTCCTTTTACCAATATCTATGTGTTAAAATAAAAAGTAAATCCTGTACAACCAAACAACACAAGCTCTATGATTACGATACCCTACCCAATAATCAACATTCACGACGTAACTTCGGTGGGATCTTACAACCAGCCTGACACAACATGTTATGGAAGAAGGGTTAGGTGTACGGAACACTGAAACGATTACTGTATTTGAGACTCGATATTGAATTCTGTTTCATCTCGTTAATATTATGTTTTAGTATCATTTGTGTCAAAAATAATCGAAAACAATTTTTGTCTATATGCTCCACCATGGTTCAGTAGGGGGGTCCACATCCTTCTCCGTAAGAGAAGAAAAATGTGGTGAAAAATGCGGTTACTGGTTACTGATGGAACAAAATCTTAGCATCTAAAAGGTCAGAATACCTGTGCCTCGACCCTCCGTTAGTCTAGAAAGTTGTACGAAGAAAAAATTGTTAAGGAATCCATAGAATGTCTTGAACGCTTGTATTCCTATATAAACCAAAGGACAAAAGGAAGAGGAGATATTCCTGCACTATGAGGAGACTGTGGTGGACCAGACGATATATAAAGGCAAAACGTATCAACAAAGTTAATAAAGATCAATAGAAATGTTAATGTACTGCCGCATCATCAGTGGAAGAAGACTTTGGTAAGGCTCAAGTGTTCTCGAAACACTTTGGCAATGTATATACCGTAGAAGCACCCTTCCCGTCAGCTCATACAAATCCCTCCACACATATACTGGATATCGTGACCATTAAAGAACTTGACGTCTTTGGTCTGATAAAAGGGCTTGACATAGGTAAATCCACGGGACCCGATGAATTGCATCCTAGGCTACTGAAGGAGTTATTTAACTTCGTTGCGAACCCTTTAAGTATATGATTTAACCTATCCGTAACGCAGGGTCGTTTACCAAAAGACTGGAAGAACGCCTCAGTAAGTCCTACCTTCAAAACAGGTACGGAACATAAACCTGAATATTACCGACCCCTTAGCCTAATTAGTGTGGTTGTTAAAATCTTAAAAAAGATTATTCAAAAGGAACAGCACGGTTTAGGAATAGGTAATTTGCACGATAAGTGGTAGATGTTGTGAGGTCCGGAACTTCTTAATAAAAATTATCTTGAATTCGATTAGTTGACTTATTGGAGAAAGACCGTAGTGCTGCTTACTCAGGTGTCCAGTGCTTATTTGTTTTCAGTTTCAACTTGGCTACCACCAGGTATTGTTCTGAGATTATGTCGACTCCTCTTTTTATACGTTCCCCAAAGAACTTCTGAATCATTTTATCGATGCAAACGTGATCAATCCTGTTCTGTATAGTGTGGTCTCGTAAAACTCATGTTACTCTGTGCAAGCGTTTGAACAGGAAAGTGATGTTACTTATAACCATGCTGTTGAAGGTGCATCAATCTATTCATTTTCTAATTTTCTCCTTCCTAATTCCCATTTTATATCGCCCAGTCTGATAACCGAATGTAATCCCACCTAACTGGTCTCGAAATGAGAAAAATCCGTCTTGTGACAGTCGCAGAGGAATCCGTTTGATTAATATATCTAAAATATTAGCCTCGATTATCCTTTAACCCTAGTTTAGTGCTCGTAAACAGTAAACTCGGATAAACCAGGCTGGTTTCAGACCTGGACGCGGACGTGTAGATCTGTAGTGGCATTGGACAATAGCCACACAATCCACAAAGCTGTGAACACGAGACTACTCAGGAAATAGATATTCAATATTTAACTCGGGGAAATACCTAAGAATGGAGAAGGCGCGAAGAATGAATTGAATGGTCTGGAGTTGATCGAGTGGCATGGCTCGGCCATGCAGGCGTGGTCTCTATTCATATTAAATATATTGTTCCTTCTCTAAACTAAGCTGGTTCTTCATCATGTATTGGTAATTGATACGATACAGAGAGTTGGCGTAGTCGATGGTGTGACTTCCACGTAAGATCTTATAGATTAGGCAGTTATATCATGACGAGTCTACAAATTTAGGATTAGGTCTATTATTAGAGCAGTACTAATATCATAGTAGACCATAATTCTACATTGGTAAGCCCGACTAGAAAAACGCAACCTATTATTATTAATCCTTATTTCCACTTCAACTTTCTCGATCGATTTTATATTTATGTTAACACTATTCTAATAGTCCTCTGATTAATGCTCACATGCATTATCGTAATGTTATATTGATTAGTCCTCATGACAAACTAGCTCAATCGATAATAAAAACTGGTCGTCTATATTAACTAATTAGCTTTGATGATTTGTTAACAAGCTGTAATAGCATTTACATGCTTCAGCGACATAGTCTTGTTTAAACATCTAGCTCTAGCAAATATGACCTGTAAATAGCGTAAATATACATTGACTAACAATGCGATCAAGGACTTAATAGTTATCTGGATCTAATATTCAGTGTTCCTTATCTTATTACCTCATCCTGT